ATCTTACAAAAAAGAACTCCCTAAATTGCATACAACTCTTAGGAAAGCATATTGTTGCTTTTCTGTCTTCCATAGCAAATCTACTCAAATATTTGTCTACTGTTTGAGTTTCTTTTGGTGCATCTGCCTTCCCTATGTCTCCAACAAAGTCATTCTCCTGATTACAATGGTGCCAGCAATTCGTGAAATTTAAAAATCTTCCTTGAATGCAATTACCTTGGCTTTGGTGACACCCAGCTTACTAGTTCTTCTTTAACAAACTGGCCCCCCATTTCTTGTCACCTAGTCCATAAAATCTGGACTGGAATGCACTTTTATAGCAAGCTCACTAGAATGCAAACCACAGCTCACAAGAGCTAAGAGATGTGAAGGATAGATACTAACATTCTACTATTCCAGAGTCCAAGGAAGCGAGAAGAAAGACAATAGGCAGTAAATAATCACCAGAGTGGAAAGTACAGCAGAAAAGTCCCCTTTTCTTCCAGTTGACCCGGGAGATCTTCAAGGCTCTGATGTTGTATGCTTCTATGCAGGAGGGATTAGAATTCAGGTAGATTGTTTAAGAGCTTCTTTGTATAACTTAAAAAAATTAAAGTCACCCATGATTTGCTATTGGGAAAAGAAAGAGTAAGACAAAATTAAGAAATACTCATCATGCATACCTTTATGGGATATACTAATTATTTCTTGCTACATAACACACTATTCCTGAATTTAGCAGCTTAAAGAAAAAATTTCTTTTTTTTTTTTTTTTTCTGGTACCGGGAATCAAACTCATGACCTCACGCTTGGCAGGGAGGCGCTGTGCCACTGAGCTAAATCCCCAGCCCCAGTAAAATATTTCTCCTTCTACATGGCTTCTACGGGCAGAGAATCTGGAAGTGGCTCCACTGGGCGATTCTGGCTCACAGTCTCTCATGAAGCTGTGTCCTCAGAAGTTTCCAGAAGACAGGTAGAGGCTGCAGCACAGCCTTAGGAAGTGGGCACTGTTAGGAGGGAGAAAACGAGTTGAGCTCAGGTCTCCTGATACTGTGTTCTGTGGAATCCTGGTTTCTCCAGCATACTCCTTCCCAAGAAGGTTCCGTGGTACCAAAACTGTGGGTGCAGGGGTCCAGCTTGACAGGTCTAGAGCCATCTTGGTGGTAACACAATTCTAAGCCCTATAAACTGAAGTTGTTAAGATACTCAGTCAAGCATTTTGTGTCCACCATAACACCGGGACTACATATTTCTGAGCTGGCCCTGGACAAGTTAACAGTTCTTGAGAAAGCTCACGCATGTTCTTCTGGCTGCAGGTCTCTGTCTAGCTTAGCATGTAAGCCCTTTCTTTTACTGTGGAGTGTAGCGACCCACCTGTCTTTCTGCCATTTGAAATATTTCTGTCCAAAAGTCCCCAGTAAATGTCATTTTGTGCAGTTTTGGCTCTGTGTTCCTCTTTACTGTTCTCACAGCGCCTCTTACCTGGGGCGGCTGGTTTTCATCCACCAAAAGCAGGTTTTTCCAAACCAGTGAGAAAACTCAGCACCCACCCTTCGCGAAATGAGCACAGAGAAGGCTCTGGGCGAAGTTTCAGAGCAAAGGACCCAGTGAACTCAGTGAACATGGCATTTCCCCCCACATTTTCATGGAAAAGCCTCTTAAATTGATTAGTGTTCAGATATATCTCTTGCTTGTTACCCAGGTATCTCTAAGATCTGGATTTGATCACATCGCTTCATTAATGATAGCTGTGCTGTCTCACATGAAGATTTAGGGAGAAGGCATTAGGATTTTGCATTTTGTCATTTTAAATCTCTTTCATTTTGTGATTTTCAAATGTAAATAACCCACTGGCACAGTAAATCTGCACAACACACACACACACACACACACACACACACACACACACACACACTTCTTTTTTTAGCTGATAGAATCCGCTAGCAAGCAGAATCAAGTTTCTCCCTCTTCACCGTGAGGACCTAAGGGGCGTTTGGTTGTGGGTTTCACTTTGTCTGGGGCTCACTGCTCACGCGCAGCACTTGTCTGGATCTGAAGGGGTGCCACAGTCCTATTTCTGTTTCACCAAAACCCCGACTCTCAAAATGAAACGTTGTTAAAGCTTAGCTGGGTGAGCAAATAGGTCTGAGCTTACATGAGGTCAGTCCTGTTTCTGCATCTGTGCAGACATTTTGCTTCAAGCTCTGACGCGCTTGATCATAGGGCGGCACCCTAGACGCTACTTGGTATATATACACTGTGTGACATTTTAAAACATGAAAAACTTGGTGGTTCCAAAACAAATCAATCTGGACTCAAGTATTCAGATACAGAGTATGCACTATTTTCTATTTAAGGATTGTTAATCACTATAAATGCGTTCACCTGTGTTCTACCATTTGTTTGATGGCAGACCCGTGAGAAGAGGTAGCTGAGACTCAGGCCTGTCAGACTTCCGCAAGGGCACAGTCCTGGATACAGGCAGAACCAAAGGCATTGAGCTTTCGGCTGTGGGTCATTCCATTGTGCCCCCGGCTGAGACTGCAGCACCCGGCTCATGGACTGTGAGCCCCTGAAAAGTGCAGGGTCTGTCTTGTTCTCTGAGACTGAGTGCTCGGCAGGCACTCTCTCTAGAACAGTCATTGAAGGAGTCTTATGTGCAAGCATTTTTATCACAAGAAGACTCTAAAATTTTCAAGTGTCACCAAGGGCTCTGAGGACAGGAGAGTCTTTGTGCTACTTGAAGATGCGCAGGTGGGCCGTTACAAGCCCATTTTCCATGAGCAAGTCACCCACTTGCCTCTCTGTACTCTGATCTCTTATCAGTGCTAGGAAGAGAACCATACAAATCTTGCAAAGGGTGAATATAACAACGGAAGCAGAAAAAAAATATATATATATATGTATATATATATATAATAGATTTCAAATTCCATAAACAGTTTTTACAAGAGGAAAGTCCCCCCTCTTTGATAAATTCAGCAGCTAAAGAATGAAGGTATTAAAGGTGAGACTGAGCTCTAGAATACTTTTCTGGCAGGAGGCATTGTTCTGTGACAAGGAGTGTGTTCACTCTGTCCACCTAACCTCGCTTGTTTGTGGAGTGTTGCCTGATTTGGCATCTTCACGAAATCCAGGCCTTACCCTTAAGCATATTAAGCCGGGTGATGTCTATTTTTGCTTGTCTCTTCCACCCTACCGTGATGTCCCTTACCAGGTGATTTCTCAAACTCGAGGAGAAATGTAATAAAGAGGAGAAGGGAAAGGCAAGAGAAAAGGCGAAGCTGAGAAGGTGGGGGTCGGGGCAAGAGCAACTCTGTGGCAGACGCGTCACAGTACACTATTATCTATGTGCATACAGCCAGAGCGCTCTCAACCTGGACCCGTGTGCTCCCCAACCTGGGCCTCTACGGGCCTCTTCCTCCGCTGAGGTCGCAGGCCCACCTGCACTGTCCGAGCACAGGCCAGGTGTAGGAACAGCCATCATTTTTATCACGATCAGCACTAGCCCTCATTTCTCCTGTTCTATTGGTAACCAGCCCTTCATTCAACTCAGAATGTGGGAAATTGCAGTAGTAATAGTGAATTCCTAGTAGTGAATTCCTAGTAGTGAATTTCCTAGTAGTTCACTAGTAGTAATTCACTACTTCCTAGTGGTGAATTTCTTCAGTCATTTTTAGTCTCTGAAGATGTACTCTGTGCATGAAAGCTTAGAGTGTGAGAACCACGACTGTCATGAATGCCACCCAAACAAGGTCCTTCTTGCCCCCCAGCCCCCCACATGTGCTTCTCTGTGTTTGTACAGGAGCAGCCCTCCCTGTTTCCTGCCAAACCATCTTCCCTGCCTTCTCTGTCCGTTTCACTCAGTGCCTCCATGACACAGTAGGAAGGGGGAAGAAAAAGAAAAAGGGAGAAGGTGGGGGGACCCGGGAGGAAACCCAGGCTGCCATGACTTCCCAAGGACATCTGTCAAAGCTGGAGGTGTCCAAATGAACCAGATAGAAGTGGAAATTGGTGCCTGAAAGCAGGAACACATGTTTTACTTTAGAAATGGAAAACTTGCAGGAATGATTTTCTTCTATTTTATTGATCCCCTCTTCTCTTTGTTTTTAGGTGAGGGAAGCACAAACTAGTCTGAGGTCTGCTTCTCACTTCTCTGTACACTGTCCTACATTGATAAGGCCTGAAAGGTCCAGAATTCCAAAGCAATTCTTGCCCCAAGGATGTGGGATAGTTCTTTTACCACCTCAAGGAAGAAGGATACATTCTCTTCCTGCTCCAATGGTGTAGGCTACATTTGCTCACCATCCTGATGATACAAGACAAGTCCCTTCGTGCTACTCTTTCTGTTCAGGCTGCCACCTGCCCTTGACTTGGTGATTCCTCCTCCCAGGACCCACCCTTCCACCCTCAATGCCCCCCAGTCTGTCCTGCAGTCAGAGTAACAGCAATCAGAGTCCAATCCAGCCCTTCTGGTGCTCAGAGCTCTCCAGGGGAAGAGCCATGGCCTCTCGGAGCCTTCAGGGGCCTCCGAAACCTACCTGGCCTCTCTGACACAGGCTCTGCCACCTTCCTCTGCTGCCCCTGCAAGCCACGGAGGTGCACTGCATTCTTACCTCAGGACTTTCTACCTTCTCTCTTTTCTGCTACTTAATCTTTTGTCCTGGATAACCTTAGCTCAGCACCCTCACGTAGGTCTGTCGACACCAAAGTCTGCTTAGTTAGGTTTTCACAGGGGTAGTCCACATTGAACCACATCCTCTCTGGTCTGAAATTTTTGCCCCATAATGTCTTTTAGGGGTTATCTTGTTCATGTTTGAGAATCGGCACTGAAACATAGGAGTGTACATATCAAGGAAAAAGTGAAATGAATCTATACCCGTGTGAATCTGTAGGTATGTCTGTATGCATACGCGTATGTATTGTGTCATTCAGAAGCCAGTTCTGGGATCTTTCTGGGTGATTCTCTGTCCCTGCTTCAGTAGAGGCCCATCTGTAATCACTGTTCCTTCATCCCACAGGGGGGGCTCAGCGCCCAGGCTTTCGTCCGCGTGGACCTGGAGGATGTGAATGATAATCACCCAGTGTTTAACCCGTCAACCTACGTGACCAGCATCAGTGGCCAGACCCAGCCAGGCACGGAGATCATCAGTGTGCTGGCCACGGACAGGGACTCCGGGGTGCATGGCACAGTGGCATATGAGCTCATCCCAGGACAGCTGTCGTCCATGTTTGCCATTGACTCCACCACAGGTACAGGATGGGGTGGTTTTCATACTCTGGCTGTTCAGCTTCTGCTTAGCTGACAAGCAAGTGGTTCCTTTTCACTCGTAGGCATGGTGCAGGATTCAACTGTCCAGCGAGCGCTGGGTACATGGAAAGGGCCAGGGCTTTGTCGTTGGGTGATGCCTGCCTCTGAGTTCCAGCTTGGTTAGCGACTGATCTTGAGGTTTTTATTGGCCTGAGTTTCCTCGCATGGAAAGTGGTGCTAATAACACTTATGCTGCAAGGCTGTTGTGAGGACTGGAAGCTATACTGTGTGAGGAGCCACTGCAGTGGAATTTATTTTCCTGATTTTTATTTCCCTTCCTTTTCATGAGTATATAGCATTGATGGGTGAGTTAACATCATATCAATCTCTGAATTAGTGGTATGAGGGCAGAGATCCCATGCAGATGCCTTTCTTTGTGCTAGGTCTGGCAACCTCTTAGACGTCTCTGTATTAATCTCCTTGTTTTTAAAATGATACCTAAAGCTCCTTTCATTTCCCTAACATGGGAATTACACACCTGCCAAAGAAGTCCAGCGGGCAAAGAAGCCTTCTAGAGACAGCAAGTGGTTAATAGGTTGCTTTCCCTTTCCTGTTGGTTTGTTGCTAACAAGATATTTTCTTATTACAAAAAAAACATAAAATTTTCTCAAATATCACATACAATCTTATGTGATAATACTTTGGGGATGCTGTGATCCAAAACTGAAGATACACAGGAAAAGACCAAAACATTCCTTTTCTTGACATTTCTTCATTCAATCTGAGAAACCGGCAGAATGTGTTTCTGTTGTAATGACGGTGGCCGTGCCAGGGACAACAGTAGATTTTCTACACATTGTCCTACTGGATCTTCACCATACCTTTGCAACAGCCTCGTGCACTAGAAATACAATAATTTCCACAGAAAATGTACTTTACTGGGTTGGTTTGCCCTGTCATGCAACCCGCTGTCCACGGTCACTGCTTTTGTCTGGAATGTGCATCTGCTCTGCTTCAGATGACTGGTTGGGAGGATAGTTGTTTACAGTGGCAGCTTTTATATGGCAAACTTTCCCTTGCTCAAAATAATCCACTGATGTAGTCCCTTTAGCATTTCAAAGATCAGAAGAAAATACTTTCCTAGGAAGTTAGTCTACTTATCTTGGCTTTTTAAAAAATTCATCTCAACCAAGGACCTTAACTGCCTGTCCAGTCATCAGGCCCTGCAAGGCACAAGCATTGCCAAATATATATAGGTCAGCCAGTAATTAGGGTAGAGGATCTAAAAGCATCTAGCAGATTGTTTTATGAAGACACCAATGCACTCATCATTCAGTTTCTCCTGGAAGAGCTTGAGGAATAAGCTGCGCTGTCTTCTGTTTTGCAAAGAGATCTCTGTCACCGGGCTGGCCACGGTCAGCCCCGTTGCTTCCTGGCAGCATCTACAAGACAAATGTCACGATTAATCACGGAGAACATTTCATGTGAGTCATTATCTAGGGAAGAATCACAGTAAAGCAAAGGCCAAATTTGTAATGGAAGTGGCCTTGGGTTACTATTGCTGGCAATTTTGATGCCTGTGCACTTAGGTGAAAGAGATTTATCAGGCAAACAGTGCTTGGAATTTGTTTGCCCTTAATCACAACTCATGAGAGATTCATGAGGCCCAGGAGTGCTTTACTCTAACCTTTAGAGGAGAACAAAACAATGTCATGACCTGCTATTGAAAAAAATGGTTCAGGGAACAGGCAGCCTCTGAGCTAAACTGTTGAACTGCAGAAGTCACGTGTTGAAACTGACAATACTTTGCACACATTTGTGCTGTACCAGGTGGTGCTCTGATCCATCTGTACATTGTGAAGTGATCGAATCAAGTGACTGACATCCATCCTCTCATATGCTTAATGTTTTTGCAGCAAGCATAATTTACTTTCTTAACAATTTTTAGGTATAGATCATCATTAATTATGGTCACTGTATTGTAGAATAGATCTTGAAACCTTATTTTATCCTGTGTAGCTGAAACTTTATAGCCCTTGACCATGTTCTTTTATTTCCCCCAACCCTGGTTTCTGGAAAGCACCTTTCTACTGTCAGAATCTATACAACTGACATTCTTAATTCCAAGTGGAAATGAGATCATGCAGAATTTGTATCTCCATGCCTGGCTTATTCTACTTATCACAGTGTCCTCCAGGTTCATCTGCGCTGATGCAGATGATAGAATGTCTCTTTGAATGGCTGAATAACACTCTACCACGTGTATATGCCATTTTCTGAATCCACACATCCACTGATACACACTTTGGGTGATTCCGTATCTTAACTACTGTGTATAATGTACAATGAACAGAGAAGTGAGCCATGTCTTTAACATGCTGACTTCATTTCCTTTGGATATATAACCAGAAGTGGGATTGCCATTTGTAACTTTTTAAAGAAATCCCTTTTTGTTTACTATAATGACTGTATCACATTTTCTGTATCAAGTTGTTCTCAAAGAACAGAACAAAAACATTATGGAACATGATTATCCCCTTCTGGGTCTCTTTTTGTTTTGTTTTGTAATATATAAAGCTGGGGTTTCCTAGCTCACGATAAGGCCAATCTCTACCAAAGTTTCCAGTACAAACATAGTCCTAAGAAACTGCCTTTATGAATAAAGAAACATTTGGAAGGTGACTGAAGTCCTTACTACAGCCTGCTAACAAATTCCGTAGGGGTTTCATTGATAACTTGTGGCAAAAGCTAGTAACTCCCTGCCTGCTAGGTGACCTTATGGCTTCCTCCTGCTTCACAAAACTCTCAGAAGCTCTCTGTAGCTCACCTGAGCAGACACATACTCTCCCCCCACCACACTAGCGGTTGAACAGAGGAAACACTGAGCAGCTCCCCCAGTCCTTTAATACATATTTACCTTGAGAAAGGATCTAAGTTACCCAGGCTGTCCTTTAACTTGTGATCCTCCTGCCTCAGCCTTGCAATACCTTGGATTACTTTTTTTTCTTTGTTTTCTGTATTTATTCTTTTCCCTTCCAGAATAAAGCCCCAACTTTGACAATGAGAATTTTGCAAGCTCCTCTCAGTACCTTTCAATTATTATTCTCCTTTTTTAACCTAAGTTCTGACATTGGTGGGTAGAAGAAAAAGTTATATAGTATAAGAAATTGAACCTTGAGCCCATTTACACATTACCACACCCTCCTGAGTTACTTTAAAATTTCTCATTTTCTCACAATTTCATTCATCCTTTCATTTTGACAATTTCTGTCCCAGACATGCTGTTTTAAAAGCCTGCCTAACTTGCATTATAGACTCCTGTTTTCCTGACGACCAAAGTTTGCCCACTGATCTATTTGTTCCACCGCCAGACCTATGCATTAAAAATAGAACTCTTTGCCTCACTGTGTTCATCTGGTAAGAAAAATGTTTTGGAGAAAACTAGAAGGGGGTGTGGTGATGTCATGGTTCTTTTCTCTTGTGGGTTCATCTTCCTGTTCTGTTTCTGGTTTTCTGAATTTGTTGTTGATTCAAAGAACATTTTTATAAGATGTGTTTAGGCACTGGGAGAGAGATACTGAATCGAGCCTCCATTCTCCTTTCCTGAGTCTGCTGGCTTGCTTTGATGTGGGCATGAAGCAGACCACACTGTTTTGAGTTTTGAAAAGAAGAAACGCAGAGACATGTTTATTAATAGCTCTTTTTTCGTGTATTTTTAATCCCACTTTGTAAATTACATCTAGATTTTTTTCCTCCATTTTTTGAAGTACTCTTATAGCAAAAGAGCAATTCTTTACTCTTTATTCATTTAAATTTTAAAACTAAGGAGAAATGTTACTTCTAATTAATTCAGACGAAGGTGACAAGCAGATTTGAAGCACTCGGGCTGGATGTTCACTGTCACTTAAAATGACTTCTTTCATTAGGGCTACCTGTGGTTAAAGTATGGAGGTTTACTACTTTTTATAGAAGCAAGTTAATGATATAAAGACAAGTCAATAAAAATTCTAGAAGAATGTAGCTCGTCTATTCTCGGCAGAAAATTGAACGGAAGGAAGGCCGTCACTCTGCAAGCATTTATCCAGTGCTTGCTGTGTGTCAGGCACCGTTTTAGGCACTGGGAATACATCTGTGCATAGCACAGACACAAATCCCTGCTTGCTTGGTGATTGCAATGGTGAGTGTGTGGCCCCAGTGTTCTTGGTCTATGTTGGGCTGTGGTGTTCACGGAATCGAGCTTCAGCACTGCAAAAAGAACAAGTAATTGAAAGAGTAACAAACTGTTAGCAAGGGCAGCTGTGCCTTGTATTTGGTTGTAGTCTTTTGTTTGTATGGGTTGTGTGGATTCTAACATGAACTATTGGTAATGTAACACAGACTGTGTTTTTCTTTATTTCAAGGGCAGATTCTTTCCTAGTGCTCAAATTTCATACCTTGTAATGATTCTCGTAATTGCCCGTGATTGCCACTCTCCTGCATTTAACATTTACCGTTCTGCTGTATGGTTAATAAATTAATACCACACCACGTTTTATAAGGGATATACACATGCTTCCATCAAATTAATGATGACTCTTTCTTTTATTTTCAAGACAGACTCTAAAATTAATCATGAGCACCTAAGCCTTACATGTTACTTGCATATTAAACAAAAGCATGTTTTAAGAGTTTTCTTATGCATGTTTTCACTGCAAGACCACAGGCTCAGGAAGATGGGAAGGGCTTCACAGATCAGGGCCCCACGCTGTGGAGGACGACATGAGGCTGAGGGGGTTTGTTCCTTCCTAACAGTGCACTGTTGGTTGTGGTAGAATCGGACCTGAACTCCATCCTATACCTGTTGTCTCTCCCTCCACTGCTGTGTCTTATGTAATAATATTCCCAGAATACTTTCTGTACATGGCCTGTTTGAACTTAGCTGAGATAAACACAGCACCTGAAAATTAAGAAACAAACACTCTTAGAATCCTAGTGACTAAGAGGATAAATCTGACACTTGAAT